ATTCTGTGAAATTAAGTTTAATTTAAAGATATTAAGTCAAATATTTGTGAAATATCAGTAATTATTTCTAGATATTAAGTCAATATTCTAAAAAAAGTCTTTATTTAAAGATATTAAGTCAACTTGCTGAGAACAATTGTCATTATTTCTAGATATAAAGTCAATATTTTGTGACAATAAGTCTTTATTTAAAGATATTAAGTCAACGTTTTGAGAAACTTTGTCATTATTTCTAGATTTGAAGTCAATATTCTGAGAAAATAGGCCTTTACTCAAAAATATTCAGTCAAAGTTTTGAGAAAATTAGTCATGATTTCTAGATATGAAGTCAATATTTTGAGAAATGGCATTTATTTTGAGATGCCAAGAACAGAAACAGAAGTCGGGGAAAAGATTATATTTTTTAAAACAACATCCTTCTCCACACATCCACATACACAAATCTGACAACAGCAGGAAGCACATATTCTCTTCATGATTGGTTTAGTAGATGCTGATTTATTAATGCGGTCTTACCTGGCAGGGCAGATGCTGAAGTCGGACTTTAGTGACGTAGGCGATTGGGCCCAGGCTCTCTCGCTGTGACCCCTCCCACTCATAGATGGGCTCTTTACTGATGGAGTTCCTCAGCTCTTCTTTCCCCTCAACAGATTGCTCGATTTTGTGGACCTGATAAAAGTACACCCAGCGAGAGATACATCAACTCACAAGCTTCTAAGTTATAGCAACAATAAACTTCTTCATTTAAATAAAATGGATCAGTGTTACAGGAAAAAATGTTCACTACAATAAAACAATAATGCAAGGATAAGGTGACATTTTATTGCCTTGACATGCCTTGTAAGATGACTGTAAAATGCAGCAGTATTTACTGGCTGCCTTGGATTTTAGATGAGAGAAAATCCCATACGTTTCTTAATTCCACACTTCTTCTAATTACAGGACAAAACTGTTGTTGTTAAACAAAGCCGATTGTTGTGAAACTGTTTTGTTTAGTGACCTCACTCATTGCAACAGCGTTACATGTCAGCACTGGCTGCAAATCATTTCTTTTATGCTGTGTTTAAGGTGACCACAATCCCAGCCACTCCCATGTGCAATCCTTATGAAAAGAAAATAACACTGACCTAAATCGTCCACCCAGCTTTACTGCCCACTTCCAGCTGTTAAAGTGATCATTATCAGTTCTAATGCGCAGGCTTAGTGTTCAGTTATGGATCGCACTGATGAGTGCTTATAGTTACATACCTTAATCCTGCCATGTGTCTCTGGTGCGATTGCAGTGCCACCGTTGGCCTCAATGTGTTCTTGCAGGAGACCAAACCAGTTGTCCATATCCTCCTGGTTTGAGCAGTAGACGATAATGGGGTTCAAGCTGACACCTATGAAGGTCAAAAACATAGGGTCAAAGGTTGGTTCAAAGGCCATGAAGGGAATGCACACCCTTCGGTGTCAGTAGCAGGCTCTTAAATGTGGCTATAAAGGTTTTTAAGTTTTCCCATTTGGTTAATTATCATACTTGTTCTAAACTTTCAGTCAATGCTACATTTTAGTTTATAAGAGCAGGAGATTTGAATTAGGGTGACTATATTTTGGTCTGCAAAAAAGAGGACAGGAGAGCAGCAGCACAGGCCGGACTGTAGTTAGCAAATATCAACATGAATATAAAGCCAAATCCTGGACCTTTTAGACAATCAAAAAATTTAACAGTGACAATGAAACAAGCTGAAAAAGGTCCATTCTTTTGAAATGGAATGCAAACTGGATGTAAAATGTAAGTTATGCAACTATCTATGTAATTACCTATTTATAACTATGTAGTTACTTATTTATAATGCTGTAATTACAGCTAAAATAGTTATATACTGTAAATTATAATATTTCTAAAGGTTAAATGAATAAAGATTGCTCTGAGTGTCATCATATTATATTTATAACATGTCCAAGCACTCACACCGATGACGTGGCCTATGTTTCTCTCAAGCACTCCTAACATTATCGCATTCCTCACATTAAGTAAAGATGGGAAGCAGGCACATATACAGAACTCCTGATCTAAAAGAATGTACCAGTCCTGGAATTTCCCTCCATTATCAGCCCCACATACCAGCGCATATCACTAGAGATATCAGCCCCGCCTTTGTCATTTCCAATCACAGCTTACTTAGCTTTAATAGTGGGTTTTGTTTTCACCTTGGAATGGAAACTATGCTTGCTTAAATCGATGAGAACACAGTGAAAGCCAATACAGCGTCAGACTGATTGTAAATATTCCCTTAGCTGACCCCTTTTGATCCAGCACTCACAGTTGATGGGAATGTGCTGGAGTCTGCAGCAGATATCATCACTTTGATAATAAATGTGAAGTAGTGAGTCATGGTTTTTTAGAACACATTTCACTATCTAAAGCATTTTTACTTGCTCTGTATCATAGCAGTGGGATTACTCATCTGAACAATGGTTCCAAAGAGGTATTTAAACATGTCCAGTCTTCGATTTGACTCATATCCTGGTCATGTTCACTCACCCTTTGAGGTTCCTGGCTTCACTTTTGTGGATATCATTTTGTTTATAGAGCAGCCAAGCCAGTAAAAAAATGCATTTCAATGATTTATGTAACCATATTGGAAATCCAAGAAAGTTCTCACAAACAATAAGTAGACAAACATTAATGAGAATTGGGGCCTGTTCAGAGGAAGTAGAATGCGGAAAGGCTTAATCATGATAGTGAAAGCACCACGGAATGAGCCTTCTTAGCTCAACAGCTGAGCGAGTTCAGGCGCACCTGTCGTATAACAAGGAGGGCCTTGAAGGACAATTTCACCCTGGCCTGACACCAGCAAATGGAGAGCCCTCTAGTTAGTCTTAGGATCGGAAAAAGGGAAAGGGGGGTCATGGTACTTTGGGATGACTGGAATGTCTGAACATGGGAAGTGACTGTGGTTGTAAACAGTGCAAGACCGTGTTGGGAGTGGACCACAAACCAGACTCAAAGAATTGTCAGGAAGAAACGTCTAAATGTGTGTTAATGTAAATCATTTTTGTGGCCTTCATTGATTTTTTTTTTAATTCCTAATTTGTTGAGAACCTTGTTAACATAGATTTTTTTCGGTAATGGAGGTGATAGGAACCAGAAGGCATGTGGTCAATAACATAAATATAGCCACTTTGTTTGCCATCCAAAACAACCAGTGAGGTAGTTTCTAAGTGTTTTTGTGTCATGTTGATGATGGTTAACAAAAATGGTGATACATCCATACATGTTTCCTTTGGGCACTATCTTGCCTTACAATGCCCTACATGTACCTCTCCACCTTATATGTATTTTTACACATGTTTTGCAAGCAATGTATTTATCGCCATTTTATGTAGGAGCTTTGGTAGCTTTAGAGGCATTAAAGTTTTCATACGTCTGCTTCTTCCCACCTCTGTAAACAATTCTGACTAAGTTTCTTTACAACAATGTGTTTCATGTCAAAACACTCTTATTGACTTTGTTTACATCTTTACAATTGACTTTTGCAGACATTCTGGCATTCTTCTTCAAAAAAAAGCAACCAGCACCAACATCCAATATACTGTATTCATACAACAGCAGGTTCTTATACATATATTTAGTAAAAGTAGAAGATGTCCACTCACCATTAATTTGGAATGCAAAGTCTTGTGGATCTCCAAAGCTGTTTCTGTTTTTCACTTTGGAAAGAGTGAGCTCTTTCAGAGGAAGCGTGCCCTACAGAGAAACAAAGCATTTGCTTAGTGTTCCATTTTATGGTGGCTCTTTTTTTGGCTTCTAGTATTTAGGCTTTCACATAAAGTCATTCATGGATACTCATAATTACACATTTCCCTCTGGGAGTGATAAACATTAATTGTGACCACACTTGGTTTTGACACATGGTTTAGAGAGAATGCAGACATAATAAAAGGAAATGATTAACATCAACTGCTGGATTAATTGAGCAACACACAGATTTTATTGCGAGTCTGTTTATTGCATATTTACTCACTGCCACGCTGTTGGCTTGGACAGAAGAGAGTTTACATCATCGTTATCTAATACAGCCTACACTGAATATCTTCCTCATTCTCAGTAATGACTTGAGAAGTAGCTAGAGGTAGCGTATCGCCACTGTCGGAACAAAACTTTGCCATTTTTTGCTTTTTGGGAATTTTACATGATTTGAAAATACTTTACATTTATGCTGTATCCAAATTTCAAGACGAACGGACCAATAGACCTGCTGTAAAATGACTTAGAATAAAATCCTGCTACATTAACGTAGAGTGAAAGATAAAAAAAAGCTTTTCCCTCTCCTGTGAAGTTACTTTTTTGGAGATATGAAGTGTTTTTCAGACAGTGAGGACATACAGCGAAGACTTTAAAACCTCTGCCCAATCAATGAAATGGATAAACAGGAATACAGTGACAAATGCAATATAACAGAGGCTGTTTTTACCTGATAGGTGAGTCCAGTGGTGTTGTTAGAGACAAAATGAAGGTGGGTTTGGAACAGGTCCAGGTAGCAGTCGTGTACATCCTGCCAGAAAAAGTGCATAATCCAGTTATCTACACAATCGCTGAGATTCCTCTGTAGCTATGCTGGTTGACCTAGTACTTCACGTACTTTGCCATATTTCTTTGGATTAAAAGATTATTCGAGAAGATTTCATGCATTAAAACCTTAAGAGTGGTTCATCGAAAGTCCAGAAGCTACACAAAATCCAGCACGAAAAGTTACACAAGACTCTAGTTTACTAGCCATAGTTGACAAAGCATGGCTCAATTATATAAACCACCAAACCACGGAAAGGGCAATTACAATGAGGTTACAAGCTAAGCTCAGTTTTCCTGTTGACAATCAATGTTATTAATTGTGGAACGATGTTTTGTACAGTATGTGTCAATATGAATAACTCTGCCCAAGGGGAGTGGTGCTGCTCTTCAGTAATGTTCCAATCCAGAAGGCCCTGACATTGATTTACTGAGGCCAGCTCATTTCCTTTCATCTGATAGCACAGGTCTGTACTTCGCCCAAGTCATGTCGGCTGCCTTTAAAACAAAAAGCTCTTAGGTAACATTTCCTTTCTACCTTTGCTTGGGGTTTACGTTATGACTTCATCCTGGTTTGTTGTATTTCTTGTATCTTTTCTCTCCCATCTCCTTTTTTTTTCAGCCCACGGTTGCATGGCATCAGGAATCCAGCCTGATAAAGGAGGTTCCCACGCCTCGGTGCTCTATCAGCAGGCTGATCTTAGGCTCTGTGCCTGGGGTGAGTGAGCTCTGAGCACTGCAACACTGACATGTTTCACAACCCTGCGTGTTCTGACACGGCTGGAGGTCCCACATCAATTAATCTTTGCTAATACGTAATGCGGCAACCGTGACCATCGGGTGACATCTTGTATTGTTTTGTTTGTTGGTGGATGAGTAAGTGGCGGAAGAGTCACTGCTAAACCACTGTAATGATCGCTTTAATGGTGGTGACTACCATTTGGTTGTTTGTGTTCCAGCAACTGTGGAGTTTCATCAGGTTTATGTGCATAGACTGAGTGAAAGGGCTTTCACATGTGATGTGAGTTGTGAACAGATGTGCCTCACCTGGCAGTGGACGAATCGGAAGCGCACTTTGGAGCTGTGGATCATCCTGCCATAGTTCTTCACGTTGATGCTGCTCTTCTTCCATCCGCTGGCCGGATCGTAATGGAACGGAGGGTCCCATTTGATGTTTTCTATGGCCTGAAGGTCTTTAGGTGACATTTCCTGTGAGCAAACACAATGTCAAGGCATGGTTTCTCACTTAAGTGCATGTTAACACATTGTATTCATGGACATATTTAATAATGTTTGGTAAAAATGGTGAGATAATATGTATTGTATCTCCAAAATGATGAGAGATAATGGACAGGTGGCCCACTTAAAGTGGGGGGATCCCAAAAATGTACAAATATACAGTGTACATCCAGATGTTTATGTTGTAAAATACTTGTTATAACAGTTTATAAGTGTGTCACAGTGTTTAGTTGAGCTGTTCCCATATTTGAGAACAAATTAAGGAATGCTTGAACCCAAATAACATGAAGTGTTCTCTTCTTCAACACTGAAGTTTATTTGATTTTCGCTCAGACTTTCCCTAATTTGTCCTCAGACAGAGCAGCAGCTTGAGTAAACACTATGACATTGTGGAAAAGCATTTAAAACCAAAACATTTGGTTTGTGCGCTGTAGAAAATGATCAGACTGGTGTAATTTGCTAAATTATGACATTTTTGCTGCTATAAGACCATTAAAACTACCATTTAGTCAATCTTGCAAGTGTTGTTGGATATTTTTGATGCTTTTCTTCTCTGAGAACCACCAAGAGTCAATTATTTTTCACATTTTCTGTGAGAAACTCCTCACCTTTCTTGGGGTGACGGTGCAGAGAATGTTGATGATACTGTTGGACTTCTCCTGCCCCTCCTGTGGGTTCTTTTTCCGGAACAGTCGGCTGCTGCTCGGAAGAAATGTGACAGTATGTTAGTCAGGCACATTCATTTCTTCACAGCCTGTGGTTTTGGGATTAAACTGATCAATAAAGAATCTCAGGGTAAAACCACTGTGACACTGTGATCTGTCTGTTGGTCAGTTTCCCACACAAAAGTCTTTACAGTTCCATTGTATGTCCATTCTCAACCTTTCTGCACCTCCGGTAGCTCGTACTGGTCAATGTATTGTACAGGCCACTCCGTACACCATTTACGCTGAGGGAACAATAGAGCTTATGTTTCCAGACGCAGGACATAGACAGTGCAATAAGGTTCAAATGTCATTCTTTGTCACCCACGACCCCATTCGTAATCATTAGTGTCAAATCTCTGTAATGAAGTCTTTTTCCTGCACATTCATAAGAGAGGAAGTCAGGCCCTAGACTTGCTTCTCTTTATCTGCGTTTTGAATGCAATTAGCATAACACTGGGATCATTCATGCTTTGAGTTATTGGAAGTATCTGTGGTATTCTTTACAGACAGTCAATGATGAACCAGTTCGGCATCCAGAGAATCTAAGCTACGGAGGAGTGGAGCTAACAGACAGGCATCTGCAAAAGCAACACTAATTGAAGGTATTTTATTAGCTTTCTATGCTAAGAGAGCAAAAGAGTGCAAACCGTGTGAACCCACTCAGTAACGGACAGGAAACATGAACAGTGACATCATTGTTCTTGACCGACGAGCAATTCACCTGCTACTCTCAGTGAGAGAGAGAGAGAGAGGGAATGAGCAACAGGGGCCTTGAGCTTCCAGACCCTGTTTTGAGTATAACCGCCAAATAGATCGTTTTTCAAACCTTGAAAAACCTGATAGGCCTAACTTTCTCCAGCTTTGGTGCAGCAGGACCAGGCGTGTTACAATGAGCGCTGACCTGCGCGTAATAAAAGCACAATAGCTCTTTATGGCTTCTAGCTCTCTGCGCCCACACTGACCTCACCTAGAGAATCGTCCACTGCAGAATCATCCTTGATTTAAAAAAAAACTCAATTATCTTCTTTCTAACGGAACAGACTCAAACAGTGAACACTTGCACAGGACCATGTGGTGGTGCCAATGTGGTAAAGCTCTCTGAAGGGTAAGGAAACAGGAGAATAGCTTTGAATGCTATCAGCACATGTGAGAGTGAGTGTGCCTCTGAACTGTGATCCTGCCTGGAGTTAATTAGAATTACAGACATCAGCACTACGCAGATGAGCTCCAAGCATTGAGCAGATGTTTATCCTAATATTACAGTCCACCATTAACCCTCTACACTGCAAGTGGGTCCACACTTTAGTTCCTCAGGCTCATAAGCACACAATGTGCATAGCATACTGAAAAACATGGTTCAAGTGGTTGCACACATAAAATATATCACAACGACTCAATTTCCTTCTTTAACTTTACTATTTTGGTAATATTTGTGTTCATATAATACATTATACTCATTTGCAATCACTGGATATAATAATATTAGTTCAGAAAGGTTCTATGTAGTACCAAAAAAAGGTTCTTCTAAGACTTGTAACAGTAGAGGAACCCTTTTTGGTGCTATATAGAAGTATATTTTGGAAGTATCTGTGGTATTTTTTACTGAAAGTCAACAATGAACAAGTTTGACATCCAGAGAATTGAAGCTGTTATATAGAACCATTTTTAATAAGAGTCTTTAAAGAACCATGTATAACAGGTTTTCCATCATAGAGAAGAACCATTTAACCATGTAAAAAGCCATTCAAATGGTTCTTTGAGTTGTCACCACTCTATAAAACCATTGCTTTTAATAAAGAACCATTAAAGGACAAAGAAAAGAAAAACTGTACAATTAGTTCAGAATTTTAACACTGTTTACATTTTATAAAGGATCTTTAAACTTTCAAAGGGTTCTTCACACTCGCAGGTCATTTATAAAAATGGTTCTTTAAAGAAAAATCTAATGAAAGTTCTTTAGGGAACTAAAAGTGGTTCTTCTACGATACTCCTCCAAAGAGCTTCTTTGGCTTTTTTCATTTTTAAGAGTGGTTAATGAGTAAAGAGCCTTAGGATTAATAACTGAATGACAAGCTTACAGTTTAAGATGTTAAATAAGAAATATTTCTGAAAGTATAATGAATGAGAATCAAGCTAAGTCTTTTAAAAGTATTAAACATTCTGCAGCCTGTAAATGAACTTTGGAGTTTAAAGGTCTATAGGTCTAAACTGACCCAGAAGCAGATGTCACAGCTGTACACAGCTGTACAATGTACCTGTTCCGGCGTATGAAGCTCTTGCTGGAGAACCTGAAGTTGTGCTGAGGGACGCATGACATGCTACTCCCCATGTTGATCCCGGCTGCGTGAGTGTCTCCTCAGTGAGTGAACGTGTCTCCGCCGGATCAGGCGTGTAATATTCCCTTAGCTGTAATCCAAGCCGCGTGGAGCGAGCGGTTCGGCGGTGAGGTGAGACTGATACTGAGGGAGTGCTGAGGGAGAGCAGTGTATACAAGGAGTGTGTCAGTGGGAGGGGCCAGAGAGAGGAGTGTGTGTGGGCAAAGGGGGAGGAGACGGAGGGCAGTGTAGTGGACTTCACACCTACGTGGGATCCCTTCTCTAAATCAAGCCTCAAAACAAAGAGAGAAGTGTGCCTTTTCACACCTAGCACTGGACAAATGGCCCTCATTTCAAGGTTTTGAAGGCTATGGTGAAAGACTGTGAGGGCCGAATGGAGCCTGGTGGTGTCAATCAAGCACACAGACACAGGCATGCCTGAACATGATCATACAGTGTACAGTGCCGAATGCCAGCTGAAGGGTCTGGTATTTTTATTGAGTTGGGCACAGTTTGTATAGAGTAAAAAAGTAATGTATTCAAATGACTTGACTCAAAGGACTGTATCACTTCCACATGAATTACATGTTGTATGTTATATTAATATGTTTGCCTTTCACTGTTGCTTTTGGTATAATTGTGTTGATCTGTATTGTCACTGTCAGAAAAACTCATACCTTCAAAAAAAAAAGTAACTTTATAGGAGAAGGGAAAACTTGAAGTTTCAATGTTAAGTCAGTGTAAAAAAGTGATTGTGGAGCATTTCGGTTGGTCTGTTTGACACAATCTATCACATCTTCACTGTTGGCAATAAGACCTTGAATCTGTCTGATCTTTTTTGGGCATATTTTTTACATTGTGCCAAAATTTCATGTTGAATGGACCAATGGAAACAGTCAGAAATTGCTTGGAGTAAAATCTCCACCTTAACTAAAACACTAAAGGTTAAGAATGTTTTCCTTCTCCTGTAAAGTTGCCGTTTCAGAGATACAAGGTTTTGTCCAGACAGCTACAATATTCCTATGGAAATGATGGGCATATTTTGAATCAACCACATTGTCATTGTTGGAAACAAGACCTTGTATCTGTTTTTTTACATTATGTCAAAATGTCATGATAAATGGGCCAGTAAAATAATTTAAAATTGTTAAAAATTTTACATTAACTCACACTCTCCTTCTCCTGTAAAGTCACTGTTTCAGATACAAGGTTTTATTCCAACAGCCATAATACTCAGATAAGAACATACTGTGTCTTTTTTTCTTTTCCTGGTACATATACTGATCTATTTTGTACATATTTACCACATCTGCTTTAAAAATATTAAAGGGAACAGGTAGAGGAAGTCATTTTCTTTCATTCAAATCTTCTTGCTATCCACAACAAAATTTACATGCAGTGGTGTATTGAGGTCAATTATTCATATTAAAGCCAGGTAGACATCTGGTTCATTTACTTAAAATGTAGGACAGAATATATATAGAAACTTAATTTAAAGTTCTTTAACTCAAATGGCCTTTAGAATCACAGCAACGTTTACATGAGCATGTACTGGTATACTGATATTAACATTCAAACAACTTTCCAATTTAACATGCCTTCATGTATTGGTACATTCAAGTAACATGTAATATGTAATAATAATGTTATATATATACGTATATATATATATATATATATATATATATGTGTGTGTGTGTGTGTGTGTGTGTGTGTGTATTACATTATTATTACATACTATAAATATGGCCCATTATCTTGGGAAGGTACTATTAATGTTATATGGATGATCTTTTAAACCAATGCATCTACTGTGGGAGTTGAAAGTGAGCAATATGCTTTAGGTTGTTTGTGACTCCCTCATGATCTTTAAACATGAGCATATAAACTTTTTATATGGCCAGGACCCAGCAGCGG